CCGAAGTTTTCATCTGTAAAACGTGAACGTCGAACGTCGAGCGCCACTTACAAGATAGCGGCGCTCGACGTTCGACGTTCACGTTTGAGAGATGAAAACTTCGGCCGCAACCTCTCTAATAATTGCTTTTATGTGATAATAGATTGTTTATATTTTGACAACAGATTGTATCAAGTACATGGGAAGTACGTTCTCGTAAATATTGCGTTTATAGAAAAATAATTTGGCTGTAATTTGAAAAAATTGTAGCCTATAAATTTCACTTGTCTGGCTGTCCTTCCTTAATCTTGAGAACGGAGTTACTTAGATAAAAGTCGAGACCAGATATGGAAATCTTAGGGGCAGAAGGCCCGATTAACTAAAGAAGAATTTCGATGCAAATCGTTATTTTCAATTAAAAAATTTCCCCTGAAAAGAGTTAGATAGATAACCAGCACGATTCTATTGTTAACAGGAAAAGTATGATGTACAGAAGCAAGACCACCACTCAATATTTGTTTGTTTAAGTTATGGCAATGCAACACTTGGGCGATCTGCCTAGAGGGGATGCCTTCCGGGAGGTCTTTTTAAGGGAAACTGGTCCCTACTTAGACGTTACAGACGTAGAGAAAACCCGGAAAACTCCACGTGGCCAGCCCGTCCTAGTGAGGCGCGAAAATCTACCACCGAACTCCCACAGCTGATTGCAGAGACGGAGTTTACGTTAAACGACGTTTATCAACAGTAAGTCTGTATGTGGTCTGAGATGCAAGAGACTGCTTGGTGGATACATAGTTGTTTGGTGATTTGAAGAAAATTGTCCATATTCATAGGCTGAACCGCGGTTTAAAATGCGTTGCAAAGACGACGATCGTCTATTTCTGACTTCGGCAAAACATTGGCTCTTACTTACTTCGCTATTACTCCCCTCTTTTAGGAGTCGTTCGGCCAATCGGGTTATTTGTTTGTGACGTCGGAAATGGTCGCCAGCTATATTCCGAAAGCTTCCAGAAATAAAATCTTAAAGCCGTCAAAACCATTGTTCGGCAATTAATGACAATCCTTTTCCATTTCGATATTTAATTTCGTCGCCAATATGGTTTAAAATATGAGCAAATCTATATTTAGAAAATTTATACCGTCTTCGGAATAGATTTTTAAGGAATTATTTCGACATCTTATTTCTGTCGAAATGAATAATTTTAAATATTTTATTATTAATATTATATATATATATATGTTACAGTCAAAACCCGTTTTTAGTTAGAACGCGTTTTAACTAGTTTAAACTAGTTTATACTAAATGTCTTTGTTAAAACCCGTTTTGTCTAGTTAAAATTAGTTTTAACTCAAATTCATTTTTGACTAGCAGTAAATTCTAGTTTCAACTAGACAAAACGGGTTTGTCTAATTACTGTACATGTTTTGATTTTAGTTAAAACTAATTTTAGCTACATAAATATGTTTGGGGGAAATAAATAAAGTTATGTATAGTGATTCGGCGGAAGATGCCTAACATTTTGCTTATGAAGGAAATTACAGCGCTAATTTGGGTTTAGGAGCCCTCTAATGAAAATATCATATTCTGGAGTATGTTTTTCAAATAAAACTTTGGAGTTTATTTTAAAAAATTGTATACTGTGTTTGCAATGACGACTTTTTCACTGTCTGGCATTTTAAGCATCTCACCCCAAGTATCTGGGTGAGATGCCAAATGCCATTAGGGTAAGATAACAAATATAATTGCTTAAAATTAATTTTTGAATTTCTTAATTAAATGTAATTTATTGCATATGTAGTACAAAGTACTTCATAGTAAATATAACAGCACAGTATAAGTATTGTTAAGTTTCCGCCCGTTCTAACGTGTTCTATAGCTAGCTGAAAGCTTTTTTCAGTCCAAAAACTTTTTTGAGAAGTCCTTATATAATTTCTATGCATATCCTGCAATAAAACGAGAAAACAAAAGTTTATTAAAAATAGGCATATTGAAAATCAATTAACAAAAAATAGGCACGTTACCCCCAAAACAAATGTGGCATATTTTCCATTTGTTGGGGTAAGATGCCTAGTAGAGTCACGTGCTCCAGCATGTTCGATCGGGATCGGCGGTAGCCGACAATGGAAACTTTAGAACCTTAACTACGTCACACATTAATTGTTTTCAGCAATTTTTAATAAATTCCATTTTAACTTTTAGTTTAAAATTATTCTAGAAACATTTCACAACAATAACTTCGTTCTTATCTAGCTTTTATTCTTCTCGGATGTAGAAAATGAAGTAACGGTAGCCAACTACAGCTTTCCGCACTCAATATTGGCCCAACGATTCATCATACAAATACATGACAATATGTGACGTCACCGTTTGAAAATATCAAAAATTAGGCGTCTTCCCCCGCTTACCATCTTACCCCGAATCACTCTATGCGTTGCAGTAAACCAGTTTTTAGTTAGGATGCGTTTTAACTAGTTAAAACTAGTTTTAACTAGACAAAACGAGTTTTAACAAAGACATTCAGTATAAACTAGTTTCAACTAGTTCTAACTAAACGCGTTCTAACTAAAAACGGGCTTTGACTGTAACATATATATATATAGATTTCTGTAATTATAAAAATTGCCTCGTTTGTTTAACAGTACAATAACTCCGAAATGCATTAACATTTTATAACCGACACGATACTAGAATTGTAAATAAATGCATCTGATTTAAATTAATTGAAGTTTTAAGTCCTCGCCCATTTGAATATCGAAATTGGAACATTTAAAACAAATTTAAAGTATTTAATTTTGTTGTTTTTACTCCGAACAATTAATTAATGAATAATTTTGTCGATTCGTACCGTTTACAACATTTATCAAAGGAGCGATATCTGTTTTTATCTAAACTTTTCCACGAACAAAGCTACCACTCGAATTGAAAAGCCATCTAAACCGTCTGTCGAGTGAGTCTAGAAAATAGGTCAAATAACTTGTTTCTGATCGCTGTCTACATTGTGGCAGGCGACAAACGCCGTCTCTGCAATAAAATTTTTCTGAACAGCGGTCTAACCGATCTGTAAACCGTCGTCGGTCTCTAAACGTTGTCTCTACAATCGGTTGCCAGTGTTCACGGTACGAACACCGCTTGGGCACTGGTGGGCTACCACCGCTTAAAGAATTGAGAACATTGTTACTATAGTTGCATCCCGGCATTGTGACGATGTCATAATAAATAATCGCTCGTTAGAATTAGTTTGGTTTATTTGGTCACGGAAACGTGACATGTGAGCGATCTGCCGAAGGGAATGCTGGACCCTATTCAGATGTTACTAACGAGAAAACTCCACAAGATCGTTTAGCTATGCCGAACCCACGACTAATTAACAGAGTTCGGTGGTTTTATCCATTCGGCTACTGGAAAGCGCTTAATAGAATTAAGAAAGTATCGTTCAGATATAAAAAAAACTCGAGTTTATTAGATGTGAAAAATTAAATACTGACTGTATAGGCTATTCACGGGTTTTCTCAGGCTTAAACACTTTCGATTCCACGCAAGCAAGAGCTATATGCTACCTGTCTCAGTAATGATATATCGCGTCTATTTCGCGGTAATTAACAAGGGTTAAGTAAATATAATTCTTACAAAAATGGATATCTTCTTTGTAAGAATTACATTTAGTTTATTTTGTTAACTTTTTTGCCAATAGATGGTGCTACGTGTAAATCAGCGGATCTAATGTACAGTACATAGAAATTAATTGATTTACAGAAATCCAATACATATTTTGGGGTGAGATGTACGACATTATTTAAGTTAGAAGTATTTGAACGTAAATACTGAGTTTCGTAGCAATTGGTCGAACGGGCAAGGAGTGTATAACGAACAAACAGACAAACATTCTCATTTGATGTAGGGATTTATTTTATTTAGTATAAATGCGACCGTGACATCGAACTAATCGACAAGCCTTATTCTAATAAAACCGAATTTTTAACGGGTTCTGGATGAAAGCATTAAATAGATTAAATAAAAATAATCTAACTAATTTTTTTTTAATTTTGAAAAATAATCNCATTATTTTATAGGTAATGGAATAGATTTTGCCATGATAGTAAAGCTATTTTTGTGTGTGTCTTTATTTTTTACTTATCCAGGTATGAAATTAAATTCATATAGTTTTTTTATATATTATATGCACAGTTTATTTTATGTACGTGTGTGTGTGTGTGTGTGTGTGTGTGTGTGTGATATCTGTAGTTGTAGATGTATGAACTTATAAAAATATGAAAATGTGTCAAAGCTTAAGAAAATTTGTTTAAAAATATAGAAGTAAACATTTTAACATTTTCACTAAATGTCAGGCTTTTTTAAACAAACTGAAAATTTTTGTACAAATTCTCTTCAGATGAATGTAGAATTTTTTCCAGAACAGAGTCAGATGAATGGCATGACTCTATTGTTAACAGGAAAAGTATGATGTACAGGGGCAAGACACTACTAAAAATCAAGAGCATAGTGCTTAGAAATCTAAAAAATAGCAGTTTAGCATTGTGACAATGTCACAATAAATAATTGTTCATTATTTGTAGAAATTTAAAAGGAGCTATAATTTATTTATTTAGCAATTTTTCCTTAAATGTAATAAATTAAATACTTAAAACAGAATATAACAACAAAATTCATTAATATAAACCGAATAAAATGCATTGTAATTTTTGCAGTTATGATGTTTCCAGTTACAAGATTATTAGAGACAAGATTTTTGGATTCTAAAGAGAATCAAATATTTCAACAGGTATTTCATAAATTATGTTTATTATATATAGAGAATGTTTTACTATTCCTCTTATAGGATGAAGGAATAATATGAGGGATATCCAGAAAATAAAGAACATTTGGCTATAAAAAGGAAAAAACAATAGAACTTTTTCCCTATCATTACTAAGTAATTAGTACAAGACTAGTTATTACTTTTTCACATAATCACCATTATGATTAAAGCAATTGTAGCATGGCACTAGCTTTTTGGATTCCTTTATCACAGACCATCACCAGTTCTTTCAGCCAGTTAGTGACAGCTTTTTTCACCTTGTCATTCATTCCAAAATGTTCCAAATCCATCTGAAAACTATTTCAGCCTGGAAAAGAGGTAAAAGCCACTGGGGCCCAGTATGGTGGATGGTCGAAAACATCTCAGTCAACTTTCTGAAGCACATTTTGAGTGGCTGCAGTAGAGTGTAGTCATGCATTATCTTCCTTGATTAAAAATTACAAATGAAGCATGAGAAAATAATGTTTAATGTGATCACCATACACTTCCATGATTTGTTTATGACTTTCTATAGGATGATATTTCTTCACATTCAGAAAATGAATAACACTTCACAATTGGCAGGATTTTTGTACACATTTTAACCCTTAACAAAACAGTAACAAGAAGCCTGCCATTATCAAAACTGTACACTTGCTAAGCTAACACATCAGAGAACAAATTGACCTTGAATCAATGGTGATAATTCGCCTACATGGAGTGCTATGTTGCAAACGTTCATTATTTTCTGGATGCCCCTTTTATAATTCTATCAGGTTGTAAAGGTGAAAATTAGACATTTAAATTTTTTCTAGAAACTACTGGAAAAAGTGTTCTAGATTATTTGATGTAGGTATATAAGTATAATAACCAAAAGCATTTCATCACACATTTGATTTGAAATAGATGCATCAGCAATGACTGACAATATAAAACTATTCTAACTAATATATCTAAAAGAACACATTCACATGCTTTTGATCTATCACTTCAAAAATAGCCACAATGCAACAAAAGCTCACAATCTCATCTGCAAGACATTTGTTAGAGAGTTCAAGTTGAACAAAGACAAATCAGCTGTTGCAATAGTGAAGAATGCAATGATCTGCATTTGTTTTGCATAATCGTGATGGAGCTGCTTCCAACCAACATCACACACAAAGAACTCTACTGTAAACACTAAGATCAAAGAACTTTGTCCAAAAATGAACCATGACATTGTACAGTACATAGAGCAAAGATGACCTTAGAGAAGCTGGCCAGTCTGGGCTCAGTGATTTTGCCTTATCTACCTTACAGCTCCAACTTCGCACTGACTGACTACCATCTAATTTGCTCCCTGCAGAATCCTATTGCCAACATACAACTCAATGATAACATCCATATGAGAATGGGGTTTTCTTTGAAAAAAGTCTCAAGTGTCAATCTGTGCTCATGGGATTGAAATATGCAGCAAAGAGGGTAAGATGCAATCAATATTGATGGTGTTACGTACCAGACTGAACTGTAATTGTTGTTGAGTTAATTGTCAATAATAAATCTGCTGCATATTTGATTGCTGCAATTAATTTTGCATGGGATATCTGTATTTTTATACCTATGGCAAAAATTTTATTAAAATTGTTTCAGAGAAGTAAAGATTAATAGTAGAATAACTATAAAAAATCTATATCCTTGCTTTCTACTAAAATGTCAGTAGATTTAGATAACATAAAATATATTTTAAAATGACTAAAATTTAAGTTATTAATAAATTTTACTTATGATTAAATTGTCCTTTATAAGAACAGTTCCTTATTTAAAACTTTTTAATGTTTTTAAGTACAAAATTTTTGTAGATAAGATAACAGAAGTTTTCTGATTGCATATCTATATTTATATGAAGATTTTCAACTTTTTCATTTCTGGTTATGGAAACTGTTTCATACCATGTGCACACACAATTTTAGTAATGCTGAGAAGGCAGGTGAAAAAGTACTAATTGTTTGCAACCCATTTCAAATCTATATATTTGTGTAATCAATGACTTAATATATTTTATCAGCATACATTTATATGTATTTTATGAAAATTTTTTCTTTATTTGAATAAAATTATAAGCCATATATATATGAAATATTCATTACTGTTTTAAAAAATTTTTTGCAAACATTTTTATAAAATATTGATAATTATGTTAGATTTTCATTAAATATACCAGGTTGGAGTAATATATTTGAAATAACAATACAGTAGAGCGTTGTTTATCCAAATCAATTGGGGACTGGGGTAGTTCGGATAACTTATTTTTCGGATAACCGATTATGTACGAAAAAATATATTAACCTATCCCATGTTGAAATTTTTCTCCGTTGCGTGTCGCTTTGCGTTGAATTTTCATCGATGTTAATCCTAATGTAAACTTTTTAAAATAATAATCGTGGCTATTGCATCGTTAAAAATTATTTTTTTATTTTGTACAAACAAAATAAATATATTGAAAAATAAAAACAAAAAAAATTATACTTTAGAAGTTAATCTAGTATCAAAAGCGTTTGATTCAGTTCTGGGAAAAACACCACACAAAAGTGTCAGTGCTGTCAGCTAAAACACACACATCAACAAAAAAATATTGGAGTAGCCCAAGATATAGCCAGAGATTGCAGCGCCACAGCACTAGCTAGCGAAAATTTAAATTTGCAGACTGGAATTCTTTCGGATAACTGACGCTCTACTGTACATTGATAAATTAATTTTATAGTAATTTGACTTACCTAATTGGTTTACAATTAAAAAGCAATGAAATCCAATATATATGTACAATTTTACTTCATTCAAATGCTTTTTTATAACCATGATGCATAATTAATGTACATCAGTAATGGAAAATTTGAAAATTAGTCAGAAAATGTCTCAGAAAATTTTACTATAAATTGTTTTACTTTTTTTCAATTTTGCTGCTAAATAAAACCTATTGAAAAAGGAATCAGGTCAAAGGATCATGATTAGTCTTAAGTTCAAAAAGCATTCCTTGTAGAGAAGTATTTAACTTATAATAATAAATTATCTAAATAAATATTCAGTTATATATTTTATAATAAAATTTATTAAGAGTAACTGAATATAATTGAGCAAGTAGGCACTTAGGCAAAGTCAAAAAATATTACAAAATTAATATAAAATTTAAATGTTTTCAAGAATGCCAAATACAAATATCATGTTTTCTTGATTCTAATGCACCACTGAGTCTAAAGTGCACCCAATTTGCAAGACATTAAAACCTGAGAAAGTTAGCTTGCAAATGTAACACATGCACTATATCACCAAACATGCAGCTGCATGAAATTTGTATATTTAAACAGCAATAAACTGTAATGTCATGTTTACAGTACTTCACAGTGTTCACTTTTCTGAATATATTCATTTATGACCGACTCTATTATCAAATATAGAAGGTCCTCTGCCTGCTTCTTGCCTGTGTTGGTGAGCTTTTTACTGAGGTCTACTTTTGTGTTTCTTGGCTCTATTGAGTGTTTTTTCCTGCTGTTTTTTGTCATTTTAGTTAGTATTTGTGTTACTGCTTAAATTTTCAGTCAGTTTTTCATTCTCAATAGGTTAGATTTTTCATTTTCACATGTTTCTCATTTGTTAGGCTTAGTAGCTCAGTTTCTGTTTTGGCTTTGCCAGGCAGAACAGTTAGTTTCTTTGATTTAATTGAGTTAAATTTACTCGATTAAATCAAAGAAACTCGTAGCTTTTCAACTTCCATTCGATTAACTTCTTGTTTCTGGCTGGCTTTTGTAAATTTTCAGTTTTTAGGGTGTTTTTCAGTTAGTTAGTCTTGTCTTAGTTTAGGTCTAAGTTAGATAGTTCTCTTTTCATAATTAGGTCTTCAGGTGTTTAGCTTCTCCTATAATTTTGGTTTTTCTCAGTCAATTAGTTTTTAAGTTTTTTGGGTTTTTCTGGTTTACTGCATTGCAGTATTTTATCTGCATTGCAATATTTTTTGGTTTTTCAGGTTTTTCTGAGTTGTTCTTCAGCCTTTTTGGTTGTAAGTTCATAGTTAGGCCTTACTAGGCCAGTTTCAACTGCCTAGCCATTTTCATAGCTTTTTGTTGTTAGTTAGTATTTTGGCATTTTTGTGGTTTCTGTTTTTTGTAGTTAGTTTTTCCTTTTGTAATTTGTTCCCTTAGTAGGTGCTTTGTTCCCACTGTTAGTTTTGTCTTTCTAGGCCACTCCATTTTAGGGTTTTTTGGTTATACTTCTTTGCAGTATTTTGGTTTTCAGTTCTCCTGTTCTTTTCCATGGTTTAAGTTATAAGTTATTAGTTTTAAGGTAGTTTAAGGGTCTTTCTAGCTAGCATGTCCATGTATTTCTGGAAACACTAGGGCTGGGAGATGTCTGAGCATGGGCTCAGACATCTCCCAGCCCTAGTGTTTCCAGAAATACATGGTAAAAAAGCTTAGGTAGCTTTTGGACATTATTTTGGGAAACTGTCCAGAAGAATGCAGTTCTGCTCAGGGCAGGATTAACCCACTTTGGGGCCCTAGACATTTTCTTCTTACGGGGCCCCTCCCACATAAGAACACATTTTCTTTAGATTTTAGAATTCACAATAACCATATAAAAAGCAATATATTTTTGTTTATTATATACAGTTGCCAACAGAAAAGTAAACTATCTTATTTACAAATCTTTTCAAAATAGACAGTTTGACTGGGCCCTTCTAAAAACCAGGCCCAAGACATTTGTCTCATTTGTCTATGTGATGATCCGGCCCTGGTTCTGCTGTTCGGAAAGAGAACAGAATAAAAATTTGTGAAGCTGCAAATGATCTTTTCTTGCTAGCAGAAGAGACTATTGTCCCAACAACAATGTTGATATGTTGAATAGTTTAATCAGTGAAGCAGTTTCGAAATCCCTAGCTGATAGTGTCTGTCATATTAAACAGGAGGTTTCCAAGAAGGTCGGCTCTCTCATTGATAGCAAAGTCAACAAAATATTAG